AGCGAGAGTGTGGATCCAAAGGGACATCTCACGAAGCAGGGCGATCAGTGGCCGGCGAGAAATCTGACAATTCCGGTCGATTAAATTGCTTTTCCAAGTGCTCAGCAGAACTCCCAAGCGTTTTTACAAGTTTTGTATAATGGCTCATCGAAATGTAGAACACACGGTTATATGGAGATCTCTTTTCGGTAGTTCACATCAGGCAAATACAGCTACAGGCGATACCCGAAAGGACTAAGGAAATGCCCCTTGCAGACGGCTGAAGCTATCGCGATCAGGCTAACACAGCCAGAGCTATGGAAGCATGCGATGCTGGTGCAACCTTTGACTTTCTCATAGCCATGATGAGAAGTCGTGCAGCCAGGAGTATTACGCATATCCGGGTGCTACTGATTTAGGTAATCATCCACTTTTATTTCGTTAGCAATTTTACTTCTTCTGTTTACACAAGTTGTTTCGCTGTCTGGTAGTCCTGTCACGACGTCACCTGAGTAAATCGAATCAGCATCGAACGAACGTGCTAAATCTGTTCAAACCGGCCCATCCGTTCTCATTTTTGCCTTCACTAGCTTACCTTTGCACTTATCAGTCCTGTAGCTGCATTTGCCCGATGTGAACTATCCAAAGAGAGATCTCTTTGCAACCCTGTGTTTAAGTTCTGAATAGACTGTACACTCTCGTCACATATAGTTTCGCTAACACCAGATCTCCTGCTGCCCGTATCAGAGGGAATAACTTACGGTAGTTACCAAGGGCAGCGGCAACTTCCGTATCTGAGGCCCGATGAGCACTAAGATTTGAGATCTCGCTTCAGACTAGCACGAAGTCTTCCCCACAGGTCCTTGCGAGTCTCGTTTTGTTCGCTTCCAGCCGGAATGTGCTGGCGAGCATCGATAAGATTCAGAGACTGCGAAGAGAACCAATGTGCATGTTGGTTAGGAGATTTACCACATAAGGATTTGCCTGCATCACCATCATCATCATCAACAGCAGTACATCAGCCATTTGAACTGATACTTCCCTGCCATACAACTATGAGGACCTATGAAATAAAGAACAAGAAGAGGGAGAGAAGGGGGACTTACCTGAAAACCTTAATGCCCCAAGCAAACATTCAGGGTCAAGATGCTTACACCTTGTGTACACAACATACCGTCACAAACAGCTGGCTATCGTGCAAAGATAAGGCGGCATCGACGAGACAGCTTCCTTGCGGCTTTCACTGCCGCGCGTCATAATCAGCCATTACCCCCCAGATGACTCAGCACCAAACACACTCTAAACAGGCAACCCGATTAGGAGACGGCAGAAGACGCGCCACTGGTGTCGGTTGCGAGCCATATCTTGTAAAGTCTCGAGCCAAGCACAAGGCGAGCCACGTGGACTCCAGCTCGGAAGGCGAAACGGACGAACGGCACCCAGTTTGGTCGTCAGTGACTTCATTTCCCGCCACCAAGTCAAGTTCTGTCCACCTCGAGCCTTGCGCCATCCTACACCTGGCAGAAGAAACAAGGCCCTCCCAGATAAGCGGTGACCAGGCATACGTAGCACGTGCCCGAGCCAACGCAACTTATTCAGTGCTATCTGTTGTTCTAGAGAGCTAGCATGATTATCACCACCTAGTACTCGTCTACGCACATCATCGTTGCGGACACGCTGGTGCTATCCGACACCAGCAATGCTTCGCAGACAACCATGATCAAAGACTTGAAGGCGCCTCAGATCTTCATACCGAATGGGCCAAGTCTCACTACCATAGAGCAGAACGGCCCTCACTATGGCCTTGTATACACGGCCTTTCAGACGGAGGTAAACTCCCTTCTGTCGCTAAAGATGCCGCAGATTCAAGAAGGTAGCTCTGGATTTTGCAATCCGTGAGCTGACGTCAGTTTCTATGCGCCCATCATTGTTGATGCAGCTGCCAAGATAAGTGAACTGATCAACCACCTCGAGTTCCTCGTTAGCAAGGGTCAAGGGGTCATCAAGTGGCTGCTACCAGTAAGGTCTGGTGAACATCCAACTGGTGACCATCAATTGCATTTAATGAGGGTACATCGATACGCATTCAGAACACCTAGCTTCGCCAGTTGGATGATGTCGATACGCTCACAGGGTCGTGGCGGGCGTTCGCCAAAATGCACTCGCAGATTAGCACATACAAGTGCATGACCAGTGTCCACACATGTGCTCCAAAACGAGCGAGAGCTCTGGACGTAGCCTCTGAAGCGGAAACTGATCACAACATGATCTATTTGCGTCCAAGACTGGTGAGCGCCATGTTGCCCTCCGGCGGGTTCTGTGTCGGAAGCTAGTGATCGCAAGAAATAAACGAGCATCTCCACACAAATGGGGTGACCGCTCAAGGTTATCACTACGGGAGGCTACATCGTGTTGGCCATCCAGATGCAGTTCATCAGTGGACAATTTTCAGAATTCAGATCCCCAGCCAGCACTACAGTATCCGTGCTTCTTCTGTGACGAAGGAGCTCGTTCGGTTGTCGGTAGAAGTCGTCTTTTTTTGAAGCATCGCCACAGTTTGTGGGCGCGTAGGTAGCGATGAGAAACAGATCCCTATTAGCTCGGCGGGACTTCGAAGCTGTGAACGAGCCAGCCAATCGGACTGTACACATCCGGCTACTGATTGGGATCCAATGAACCAGACTAGCTTCAGCCATGGGACTCAGTGCAATACCAACACTGGCTTGATCGGCACTCTAAGTTGCATCCTCTCCGGATAGGCGCAATGAGAAAGCACTGCTGGTGTCACCTGTTAGGCACAGAGTATTGATATGTCACAGGCAACCGATCAACATGTGATTCATGCATAGAAAGTTTATTATGCTTGCCTAACGCAAATTGAGAGTAAATGTACTTTATTTGTATGCCTAAAAGGAGAGGTGATAACAACAATGGATTCCGGTTAAGGTAACGAACTCAGTGTAGAGCCGCCCGCATAATCCTACACGACGAAGGGAGCTAATGGTAGATGTTTAAGAATGCATCAAGCTTCCACGACGCATTCCGCAGAGGACCAATCTTTGAGGTAGATGCGATTCACCGAAATGTGGTATCGTAGAGCATATGTGACTTTTCCAGAGCATTCGCTAGAGCTGCACCTAGTCAGACGGAAGTTTCGCATTTGTAAAAGCCTCAGAAGGCAGGTTCGCCTTTTCGGGATTCATCAGGAATGCGCATTTCGTCTGTGTAAATTTGTTTATGTTGCCATCGGACGATGGTGGTTCAAAAATCGAAAAGGCAGTACAGGAGTCCAACCTTGTTCTTCTTGGGCCGGAGATGTGTACGACAGTGAAGAAGTAATATCACGCTGCATCACAGCTGGTTAGTTGGCCACTGCGACTACTGTTGTTTCCTCGCGGTACAGTAGTCTTAACCACAGATTCGAAGTGAAGGGTTGTGGGTTATAACATCTCACTGGGAAGATTAAATCTGCACTACGAGCAGGTCCCGATGGGACGAAACGGTCCCTCAGTGCTGATGCGGCTGTTTTAGGAACAAATGAATTACCACAGTAAGATGTATGTGAAGCGAAGGCAATGAGAATAATAGCGATTATTTCCGCACTACAAGTAGTTCCTATGCGTCGATAGGTGGTGAACAGAAAATGGTTAGACGCACCTCACTTAGTTTGGCAGTCAAGTGGAAAGGTTTCAGCGGAAAGCACCTTGTCATACACCAGCGGCACCATCTCGGGTTTGATCTGTTCGACGAGAAGAAGGGGTGGCAGCATCGATGGTGGATTATGGAGGCCTGGATGACAGAATCGCCCTTCGGAGAGTTTGGCTTAAAATAAAACCCGACATAACTAAGAACGGTGCGAGGGTGCATCCTTACCAGCAGCTGCCTAACTTACAGTATACTTTCTTGAATACGTGTGTAGCAGGTTCGAACAGCACACTATAATTCGCAATAGAACTGTGCATCTCGGTCTCACGGGGTATTACATAGTACTGGCGCTCCCGATCAATCCTGTGACTTTTGGGTTAAGACCACAGCAGACCGCTGTGAAAACCGGTCACCCATTGAATCGATTGCCATGCCTCAAGCAGACCAACGGGAGTCCCAGAAACCTAGCCTCCACGAGAATATCTATAGTTGGGCGAATAACGAGTGCTAATTTAGAATCACTAATGCGGCCCATTGATGTGGTAACAGTACAGAAACAAGTTATGTGCACATCGCTACTCGAATTAGAACGCGGCAACTCTAGATGCATCAGAATGAGATTGTTATGCAAGTATTGCTTAAGGACCGGTCATAAAAACGACCATAGTAAAGTCATAGAGAGTATCCTCTGCTGACTGAGAGGACACGGGATGAGAGACGCAACGTCAGGCAGTGGCTTGAAGTATTGCCTAGACATTTTTTCAGTGTAGCCGAAATAGTCAGAGTTGGTACCTAGCGGAGTAACGTGAAACCATCATACTTGGAAAGGAAGGGGAACGGAAGAAGGAGACCGGAAGTGATATGCACACTGGAGTGACAATATAGTTCGGTTTGCCGATCCAAGAGGCGGGTCAGTTCAGGGACTATGATCTCCAAGTCCAAGGTCCACTCCAAGGTCCACTAGACACTAAAACGACGTGCGGAGTCAAAATGAGCACAGTGATAGTATCATATCCAGCCAGCACAACCCCACAATTATTTTCCAGAATTGTAAGGAAATTTTAAGAAACAAAATTCGGAAAAGAAAAGAGCAAATCGTGAACGAATCGTAAGCTTATGATGGCAACACAAGTATTATTTGAGTTGCGAGAAGAATAGAGAATGTGCCATCAGAATGTTTACGAATCCTTCGAATCTGCTGAACATTAAATTCAGATTTATAACGCCACAACCCTAGAACTAAGTGTCACGAGAATCTCTGCTGCAAAAGATCCGGTACGAGTAGATTAAGCAAGTAGGATAATAGTCGCGGCCAGCCACGAGATGTCGGGGGCCACAGAAAGACGACGTGACTGAGGAGAAGAAATGTGGCTTACCGACAGGGTTTACACCATCGATGCTGATGCTCGAGACCAAACCGAGCGCGGCATTTCTTGGCACTACCAATGTCAACCATATTTATCGAACTGGAAGATGAAGTGCATCGCAACGCAACATCAGTGGGTTTTTGGCCTGAAGCCCATTCACCGATAGATGTTGGGTCCGAAGAATTTGCATTGGACTGGCGATTAGGCGTAGACTGCGCGGCCACCAGTGCAGCAAGGCGACGCTTCTTCTTCCGCCGAGAATGCATCGCGTAATTATCGCGGGCTGACCATCCTGGAAACAGCTTTGTGTGGAAAAAGAACGGAAAATGACGTGCTAATAATAACAAATGTACACCAGGACTATGGCAATAGCGGCCGGTTTAGTAAGCAATACAAGTACGATAGAACTAACACTCTACTGGTAAAAGGAGATCAGTCGTGTAGACCGAGTTAGCTGAGTGTCCAGTGATATGATGAGTGATCATGACTGCACGGTATATCCTCGTGGGGGGGGGCATCGATGGCCACGTAGTGGGGAGCTGGGAACTCGGAGAATATCGGCATAAGAAGTTCCCGCAGTGGCCTACATCTCATCAGTGTCTACAGACAAACAGAATGTGCATCGAGATTAGCAGCGCTCCGTCCGGTAATTGATGGTTGATGTGCAAGATCGCAATAAGGAGTGATTTTACACGATAGTATAGAAAAAGACAAGTCAGAACGATCGAACAATGCTAAAGAAGAATTTCCTTCAATGTGATCAAAGTTATAAGACAACAGTTGTGAAAGAATGTTAGTGAAGGGGCGACCGCGGATATGATCCGTAACGGTACGAAATCGCAGGGGAATATGAAAGTTACACAGGCAAGTATAACTAGTGTCAGACAGTGCGAACAACTGAAATATGTCTCTAACACCGTCAAAAGAGCATCAAAATTGGACGCGCACAAGAAGCGTAAGGGTTCCAGCATACGCTCCGGAGATCCAGTGGCTCGTACGATGCAGTGAGGGCCGCGGACATACGTCATCATTATCATCGAGCAAGAAATAAGGACAAAAAGACGTCGACACACAGTCATGAATGGAAGCGGAACATTGACACTCCGCAACTAATGCAGAGAAGCACGTCAGCGAAAGCAATTAATCCTGAGGATGGTTTGCAACGCACAGTATGGTTACAGTGAGATATGCTCGCCAGTGAATCACTGGTCGGTTTCACTTCACTTCGACATCACTCCAATGGGGTCGCACAGAGCATCAACCAAAGCATGAAGTAACGACATGTTCGGCATGCGCTGGAGATACGTGTTGTGAAACGAACCAACCAAAATAGGGTAAGTATCGTCAACGTGGAAAAGTATGAACATATCCATCAGCAGGAAGTAAAGCACAAAAATTGGCAGGCTATATTAGTAGTTACTGTCATCCACGGGATAGCGGGAATACATCGAAGCTGGTCACGAATGGAGTCTACATCGGAAATAGCGCACAGCAGGGGCCTCACGACAGTGTAGCAACGTGTGTTCTGCTGAAAACCGTAGCGTTTGGAATAAGAAATGCAACTCGAACGAACACGTCGAGCAGCGACTAGTAATAGTGCACGCCGACTGAAGTCGCAAAAGCGGTGAACGACAAAGCAAAAAAGAAAAGTTTCCAGATTGAAACCTCATTAAATGAGTGAGCATGAGCTGCGCATGTAGATGAGAGAAAAGGTAGTACAGCAAACGACGCAGAGACAATGCAGCCGCAGTCGACACAGAGGCACGTTAGGACAAGACGGCTGTAAGATGCCAATATGTCATGAAACCAGCAGTTAAGTGTGTCGACGAAACAGAATTTGTTGGAGTACCCTAGCATCAAACCATCATACCATGTATAAACCAAATCCTGCACTGATCATTTGGCAAATCCAAAGGAGTGGCCTAATTTACTAATTGCCCATGCCGAGGAAGCCATTTGACTTAGGATACCTCACCCGCAAGGCAGCGGGGTGATTGATGTAAACCGCAAACCGTTGGGAGCTGGCTATCTAGGTGAAAATATCAGGGCTTGCGAGTAGAAACATACTACTCAGGGCGCCAAAGGAGCCCGAGTGAAGCAGTACGGAAACCAGGAGAAATTTCCTGGACCATGGAACTGGACAGTGCGTATGAAAGCCTTTGACAGCCAGGTGGCTCATACAGCTACTTGGAAGCTGGTGGCCATTGAGGTTATTCGTTCACCCTCCGTTAAAAGTACTCACTTCTGTAAGTGGTTCATGATCCTATAGCCGGTCACATTAGGTTCGACAGCGTCTTAGGAGCTGTTGTGGTATTTAATGAGGAAGCAGGTGACCAGCCGGGACCTCCCATGTTCTAGGACGCTGCCGCTGATTTCTGCGACTACTTATTCATATCGCCTGCGAACAGTCGAAACATATTTACAGTTACCTTCGCAAGGAAGGCATTTCCCGATCCGCAACCTGGGCACGCGACCGGTGGCGCACAGCTCCGCCGAAGTAAGCACTGGTCGGTTTACTTGCGGAATAAATCAGTAGTGAGGCCTCGCAGCCCAAGAAAATGACCCGTCAATGAGGAAATCAGAGCCAGCATAGGCTTACCAAATAACGATAGGGGACGCTATCAGGATCAGTGGGCTGGGCACTTACAATAGTGGTCCAGTTGGCTCACAGGCTCTGAGCCACCTCATGCCCAAATGGCATAGACTGAAAGATGGCCAATTGACCTAATCTCAAACTGAATGCGGTCACAGACTTCAGCAATGGCAGTGTTACCGGCACTGCTTTCCCGGTGCCGAAACAGTTAAATTTGGAAGTGAGACAGTTTATATGGACATGACATATTTTTCGAATAGGTGTGGAACTGGAAAACTATCCTAGTCAACTGGATTGAATGTGCCATAATAGCAATATCCGTAAGGTAGGCCCGTGGATAACTGGTATAAGGCGCCGGTGTTGCAACTTGCAAGTCGCTGGCTGGAATTCGCGTACGCGCGGGTGACGTCGCAGCATTCCTAGCCAGAGCCCAACTAATGGCGGCCTCGGGACAGTGTACCGGCTTAGTTCTGTTGACTCATACTACGCACAACGACAGTAGCAACGTACGTGCTAACCACCTGGATACCATCGTGGCTGCATCAGCGATAAAACTAATAACCTCCATTTTCGTCTGCCACCCTACCGTGGAAAAGAAATCCCAGATAAAGCAGGTATCCGATTAGGACAAGGACGTGTAGATTATATGTCCAATCTGCAGCGGATTTTAAAGCACCGATACGCATCTGCATCCGCACGTTCAGTTCCATTCGCCTGTTCGTAAGGGTTTTACCACGAAGCAAGTGAATACTGCTTGCCCCGAACCCGATTACTTCAGGCTGCAGAGAAAGCCAGTAGAGCTGTACAGTGAAAGAGAAAATAAAGTATAACTGGCCGCATCCTCGATAACTTGTCATAGCCGTAAAATCAATGAAACTCCATGATGTAGAATTAGCGTTTAGTCATGAATAGACATTCGGCAAACAAGAGTTCACTTGTGTTCCAAATTAACGTTATAAAAGTTAGTCAGGCAGATTCAGAAATATATCACCTGGATGAACCTCTTACCTGGTGGTGCAATTCTTTTTCCTTGCGAGCAAGTTCGTAGTATTTGGCTTGTTTCTCACGAGATAACTCGTGCCATTTGCGACCCAGGATTTGATTAATAGCAGCGGATTCCTTCAGTGTGCATTCTTCTTGGACACGTGGCCGCATATCTTTCATGAATAGCATGAAAGCATTTAGTGGTTTCTTGATATGCGCCCTTTTACAGCTGACCGTGGTACCAGCGGATGTGGATAGTGCAACAGAAGTATACACCGATACGGGGACAGAAGAACGGTCAAGCTGGTCCGTGTGTGGAACAGTTACAGGGGACGATGAGTTCAGAGCAGTGGACTGCTTTGAGCTACTCGTCACAGGGTTGGTAGTTGAAGGCTCAACAAGGACTGAAGGGCATGCAGGTACGTCAAAGGATCGGGAAGATCCCGATAGCATACCGGAGTCAGCGAATGAGAAATCCAAACCGTTTTCAGGCGACAGACTGTGGTGCAAAAAGAGAGAAAATGGGGGAAAATGAGGCAAACGACAGTGAACAGCACTCCAACTCAATACGACAGAGTATAAAAGAATGCACAATGCAGTTGCCTAAATGGGAAGGCGGAGTGGGTTGAGTCAGCTAAAGAAGAAGAGAGGGATGATTGCTGCTAAACCGGCAGTTACAACGGGGAGCGAACATAATGTATATATCTTGTGATAGACATTCATTTTTAGTGCAGAGGATAAGCAAGCACGCAGACGGTAAGCAACAGCAATCTTCATCGAGCAGGGTGGATGGGGGTGAGGATGCTATTGCTCAGACCTTACGCTTATTCATCCTTAGTGTCCTATTCCAACCACTTTTATCCCCCCTTGTTTCCAACCCCACAATTCTTGGCTCACCCCATGTGTTGTTTCAATAGGTGTTTGCCTTCTAGTTTCAACGTAAACGCAGAGTTTTGCTCCAGTGAAGTCAATAAGCCCATGTCAGATCATGAAAACAGCCTCAGTTCATCCGTTTCTCTTTGGAGCCCTCTATCTTCTCTAACATTGGAATGTCTCAGTGCGTGCATTTTGTTGCAGATCGGTCAACTGGCAGCATCTGCCCGAACAGTAGAGACCCTATCGATCGATATCTGAGGCTTATCGGAAATCCGCCTGCAAGATTCGAGCTCTGTGCTCACCTTGCCACATGTGACACTGGCGGTATTTTCTCAGCGCACGTTGCAGGTTCAAGCGCTAGGCAAGCGGGAGTGGGCTTTGCTCTGAACCCCCGGTAGAATCTGCCCTGGTCGATTGGATCCCAGTCAACAGACAGATGTGCGTCATCAGACTGGTCGACCCATTCAAAGCACAAGGATAAACGGTGCCTCTTCGTCATCGCTACATAGGCGTCCACAAACAGCAACGCTAACGCAGGGAAAGATGATCTTCTTTACAGGGAAAGTAAGGATACGGTGATGCTCGTTGGTGAGCTGGATGCCAATGTTAGAAAATTGTTCACTGATAAGCTGTATTTGGGCGGACAACACGGTGTAAGCTCTCGTTATGATAACTACACCTATGTGAACATGCTGGCCTATTTCTAGCAAGCACTCAGTTCCGACACAGCACCCAGCAGAGGGTGACATAGCGCACACCAGACTCAGACCAGCCATGGACGCAAATCGATCAGATCGTGATCAGTTACCGCTGGACAGCCTGTGTCTAAAAGCGTTACTCTTCTTTCAGCAAGGTGTGGACACCGATCAAGCTGTTGTATGTGCTGATCTACGGGTGCGTTTTGGAGGACGCCCGCAACGTTGTCGTGAGTGTGTAGACCCCAACCGAATGGCGAGGTCAGGTTTTCTGAATGCGTATCAAGGTACGCTGGTATCCTGGCTAAGTAAACGCGCACTGAACACCGTTGAAGAACTCTAGTTGCATATCCACAAGATGTCACTATCAGCAGGTATGTCTACATATGGCAAATCAAATTGTTAACCTGAACATCGGGTCTCTACGCAGTTTCTTGAACTTCTGGATGCGCACCGACGTGCTCCAGCTAGAAGCGAACACAACGAAAGTCGCAAAGATCTTACGGTAAAACTGCGTGCTGAACTGAAGAAGGATAGTGAAACCTGGTGGTTTCACCGGGCAGCCAAGATGGAAATAGCCGCTGCCGTTAGTAACTATCGAACGCCATCTCGCCTGATACGCAAAACCGGCAAGAAGACTACATGCGACGAGAGTGGACAGCCAATCCACAGCTGGTTGAACGCTTGGAGCTTTGGGCAGAACATAAGGAAGAGCAGCTTGATCAACCAGAAGTGTCGTTCACTTATCGCCTTTCCCCCTGAGCCTACCCCTTGGATCCAGCATCAAGTGCAGATGTCGAACATGAGATCCGACTGTTGATATTGCATAAGGCAGCAAGAGCAGATAGTTCCTTAAGCGCAGTTCAGATCCAGTGGGCCCGCTCTCATGGATTATTTGCACAAATTATTAATGAAGTCATGGGAGAGGGAGACTGTCCCAACAGACTGGAGCCGCTCTGGGTTCGGAATGCGGCAATCAGAGGGAGTCCATCTGATCTCAACCGCCCCTATGTAACGTGCCTCTGTCGTCATCCATAAACTGACTGGCACACGTCAAGAAAAGAGTGGAAAGGAGCAAGCCGAGTTAAGTCGAAATCGAGGCTGCATTGACCACATCGTCGCTTCACGTGATCAGTTGGAACATCGCCAAATTTATTAGTGACCATCCGTAGTCGTGTTCCTCAACATCAAAGGTAACTTCAGTGCTATAGGAACTCGGCCGCTATGCACGATGCAGGAGCATCTGCTTGTGGTACTAGCAATCGTCACCGCACCAGTCACTGGATATCCCAGAGGTAGGTGAACCCGTTGGAATCCAGAAGAAACGTCCCAGTTGGCTCTGAGCACAAAGTTACCAGGTAGACTATTAAGCGTGAAATAAAGAAGAACCAGTGTGCTGAAAAGGAAGTTTGGTGGGCCAGTCGGGTTCTAGAAATGGAGGAGACAGGATCAGTAGGCAATCATCGGAGAAGTATAGCAGTCGAATGGTGCGGCACTTGTCCAAACGCGTGAATGAACATTGCCCACTTTGGTTGCATCAAGGTGGCACCGGGGTCATTAGTAGTTCCATTCTGGCTCATATTGTCGACAGTGGGCATCAGGTGGATCTAAAATGTTCCACCGCACCGATCGAAAGGTCAACGCCTTCGAACATTTGCGACGGTCGAAGCAATTTGCATCCGATTATTTCAACTGTCCTTATGCTCGCAAAAGTAGCTAGTCCAGACTCTACAGCTTCTCTGGCCCAAGAGCACGAGGGATACTGAGTTCAACGCCATGAGGTCAAACTCCGTAACATGTAATTAACTCGTTTCGATTTGTCGTCTATGTTACTTGTACTAACTGGTCGATTTTACTCTTTCCATTTTTAGCCGCATTTTTGGTTGTACGGGTCTGACGATGAATCATTGAAAGCAATTGCTCACCAAACGGTCTCCTTGTTCTCATTAACATGGGAATTTCAAGTTAATTATCAGAAACTCTTACAGATGATCCGCAACACAGGTCCCCGGAAACCGGGCGTCAGTGAGACAATCAGAGACAGCCTCAGAACCATGATTCACAATAAGGAGCGCCGTATGAGTTGTTGTGCGGAGCGCTTTCGAGAGTAGTTCCGTTGGCACTCTTTCTCCGGACCTCTTCATACTCAGGTGATGCAGGATGAATCATGGACGGTTAGGACGGTTAGTTTAGAGGCTGCATCGGAGGCTGAGGTACGAAACGCGATCATAGCCATCAATGATTTTCGTGCTACTGGCCCGGATTCCCTCAAACCTGCACTGTGTAAAGATGGAGTTGAGGTCGTCTGCAAAACACTGGCCTCCGAGTTCGACCACGTCTGGAAGAAAGAGACTGTCTCGTTTAACTGGAATGAACCTATTATGGTGGAAACATTTAAGCAGGAAAGTTGCACCGACTGTGCTAACCACAGTGGTATTAGCCCACCGCCAGTGGTGACCAAAGTACCGGCCTCTATTCTTGTTGTCGTCTCACTGCGGAACGGCAATCTCGGATTAGGGAAGAGCAGGCAGGTTTCCGCCGTGGACGGGATTGTATAGACCATATATTCACTCTGCGTCAGGCGCTAGAGCAGCTTCACGTATACCGCAGTCCGACAATAGCTGTGTTCCTGAACTTCAGGAATGTGTCCTGTTCATCTGATCAATGCATTCTGTGCGAAATACTTGCGCGGAAAGATATTCCCAGGAAAATGTTAACATTTTACGTACTCCATGCTCAAGCACCACATGCCACGTCAGGGCCTACGATGACCTGTCAGATATCATTCCGACAACAAGTACCGTTCATCAAGATTGTCCGACTTCGCCACTTTTGTTCAATTTTGTCGTGGACTCCATCTCGATGTGTTCCATTGCGGATTCTCACGATGCAGGCGTTGAGGTGCTGGCTGGTGAAAGGGTAGTTGATCTCGATTATTCGGACGATATCGTCTTGCTTTTGATGATGTTGGGGCGGCGCAAACAACCATGAACAACCACCAAATAGTAGTCCTATTAGTTCAACCCTCTTATACGGTAGTGAAACCTGGCCCATCAGGTTGACAGACATAAAGAGGCTAGCCACGTTCGCTCACCGCGGCCTCCGCAGCTTAGCATATGTTTAGTGGGAGCACCGCGTAGTTGATGCAAGAATAGCTAGTGAACCGCTCAGTACCATTATATCATGCACCAGGCTCTGATGGCTGGGCCACGTGTTGCGCATGCCAGCACACCGATTCCCGTGAGGTGCATTGTTTGCGAACAGGGGGTGCCGCTGGAAGAGGAGGAGGGGAGACCAAGCGATGACTTGGTAGAAAGAAATGAATACCCTCACTTCGAAGATGGCGTCGGTTGGTGCATCCCGACTGCCTGGCTGGGGTCCTAAGGACGATGAACACGTTTGGTTGGACACACTTGCTGATATGGCTTGGAGCCGGCCCCAATGGCGTTTGTGTTGTGAGTTTCTTTGTCCATCCAACTCCTGCTTAGCCTCCCGCTCCAATCACGATCGCATTGTTAGGCGTAAGATAACTCCTTTTGCTGCAAGATAGCCGGCTGTTAGCTCTCCGGAACAATGACCATCCGTTACCGGGGACTCAACCGTCGTGCCTCTGTTGTTTTTTCCTCTTCTTTTGTATTGCGGCACAATAGCTGAGGTGTTTATACATGCAGCTAACGTGTATAATGAATGAATGGTCCCATTAGTTGGCATACACTTCTCACTTTATAGTGTGGATTGTTGTTACGGGACCCCTAACCCTTGCTAGCAAAGAACTCGAGGTAGTTGATCAATTCACTTACGTTGACAGCTGCATCAGAAATTGCAACTGAAGTCAATTCACGTATTGCAAAGACTAGAACTGTCTTCTTGAATCTGCGACATCTTTGGCGTCGGAAGGGAGTTTCCCTCCGTCTGAAGGGCCGTGTATACAAGGCCAAAGTGAGAGTCGTCCTGCTCAACGGGAGTGAGACAGTCGCTTCGGTCTGACGCGCCTTCAAGTTCTTCATCATCGTTGTCTGCGGAGCATTGCTGGTGCCGGGTGGCACGAGCGTGTCCACAACGAGGAAGTGCGTAGGCGTGTACTAAGCAGCGATAGCCAAGCTAGTTCCCTAGAACAACAGATAGCACTGAATAAGTTGCGTTAGCTTGGGCACGTAATAAGTATGCCTGGTCACCGCTCACCGAGGAAGCCCTGGTGTACCAGAGGTAAGAAGGCGCAATGCTCGAGATGGACGAAAGTTAACTTGGCAACGGGAACTGAAGTCAATGACGAGCAAACTGGGTACCGTCGCATTGTGCTTGCTTCGAGACGTTAAAGGCCATGGCTCTCAGTGGACACCAATGGCGCGTCTGATGACGTTTCCTCGTCGGAATGCCTTTATGGTGTGTTTGATGCTGAGTTATTTGTGGGGTAATGGCTAATAATAACGCGGAGCAGTGAAAGCGCAAGGAAGCTGTCTTGCTGATGCCGCCTTATGTCTGCACGGTAGCCAGCTGTTTATGACGGTATGCAGTTGATACAAAGTGTAAGCGCTTTGCTCCTGAATGTTTGCTTGGGTTTTCCCTTATTATGCTTCGTTCTGTAGGTTGTTGCGACTGTATGTCAGCGAAGCAGCAGTTCAAATTGTTGATGTACTGGTGTTGATAATGATGACGAGGATCCTTTCTAGCTTCTCCCTCCAACAACAATCTTATACCATATGCATACTATGATATTTAACAGTATATTACCTTCCGTTTTGGTTTCCGCAGTCTGTAATATTCAACATTTTATCTTTTTTGTTTTACGGAACATTAGCTGAGGTCTGTTACGCAACTTTAGCTAACGTGCATTGATGATGGATGCAGCTGAAGATGATTGAGAAGAAAGATAACCCTGCATGTCGGCTAGAAATAAAAGCAACGACACACATGGTGGATTCGTCCATTTGTTTGGAAAAGCTGTGGGTTAAACAAAGGCGCTGAGTGAAAGAACAGATTGATTGAGACCGCGCAGTTTATAAGCATCAGTCGCATAATCGTTGGTTAGGCCCGAGAAAGATGAGATGTATATGAGGCTTTCACACAGCTTGTTCCTCACACATATACAAAGGCAGATTTAAAAGGGGGCTGGGTAAGAATATTTCAGCACCTTCATATGTGCTTAAAGTAGGAATGCGTCACGATGACAGAAAATTCAAAGTACGCAGATAGCTGAGTGAATTAATGCTAACCGCTTGTCGACGTTACTCGCAAGAGACGCGGATTCCGGCCCATCATTGGGGCTAGCACCGGATATTAATTTGAAGGAACCGGGAGACGAAGATGGCGATTTTTTGAAGTTCGACTTTTGAAATACTGTAGAATCGTCGAAGCGTTCGAGAAGAATTGGAGGGGAGGAGAAGTGATTCGCAGCAGATGAAGGAGGTAGTGCTGGAATTTGGGCAGCGGCTACTGCCGCGAGGTGAGAGAAGATCCGAACATGTGCAGCAGCAGCCGCCGCTGCTGTAGCACGGTGTGGGCAGTTAGACGGCAAACTGCAGAAATGGTAAGAGAGACACAATTATGGTTATTCAAATATGTAGAAATTTGGAAAGGACCCAAAAAGATTAGAGGCAGAAAACGTAAATGGGCACAGCGGCATGAAGCTGGGATTAGAATGCAGGAAAGCTAACTACCTGTTGGGACATGGACAAAATTAAAACGCGGAGTCAGGTGATGAGAAAAGTAAAAGATAGTGAAGTAAAAATTTACCTAAATGAAATGGAAGCAACAGAACGATAGCAAACAATGAACAGGTAAGAACCCGAGGCAAAGGGATATGACAGGTACGATATCACATAGGCGGTAACATTCGAGGTTTCTGGGGCGATCTCACACAGTTTATATTTTGCACAGGTAGGGGAAGACGACGACTACACAAAATGAGCTGGCAACCGGATAGTAACCAGAAAGTATCATAATTCAAACAGCGTGGATACTCAAAAGACCGTAGGAGAAAAGGTGTACTTAGCTTGATAAAAAACGATAAATTTGGACGCACAGAGACTTTCAAGAGACAAACAAGTGTGAGGATACATTACTGTCGAAGACGTGGCTAACCGAATGAGAGGAACCTAGATACGGAATCTAAGGAAATGTCATGTTCGCCATCGCCGCGTTCTTTGGAAGTTGCAGTTCATGTGCAACGTTGAAGACCACAACCGATAAGTCTTCGAATGTATTAGCCTTCGGTTGAGTACCAGGACCAGAAATAAGTGATGAACAAGTAAAGCCCACTGGGAGAACGATATGCCGCAGCAGAGGTAACAAAATGCAGGCAGAAGAACAACTCACACTGAGCGAGACGGTGACCCAACTGAAAAGTCTTTCGGTTGGCTTTCAGATGAAGGCACTGATAAGTCAGTAGCAAAAGTGCAAGGAGAGAATTTGGTCGAGGAGTTGGTACTATCGAATCTAGTGGCGGAAAATCCACTTGACTCTGGAAACGGTGGAGAATTTTTAACACGTCCCCGACACATGGAAGGAGCACTGACTGCCAACGACGAAGGTGATCGCTCCAATTTGCATTCTTTAGATTTCGTATCCTTAGTAGCGGAAGGATTCAGAGCCAATCCGGTCAGGTTTTCGAGAAAGGGGACGGTTGGGCTGTTGGGTGATTCGAAAGTCGAAGGAGCAAACGGAGAACCGGAAGAGAAAACAGGCGAGTCGGTACCCAATAGGGATCCAGAACGCTTGTGGCTGCCAGCAGTTTTGAGTCCGTAAAGGTCTGAAGATACAAGGGAACAGATGGTATCTAAAAAAGGGAGATGTTGGATTTATGCAAATGGAAATGACGCGTGAATAAATCCCAGCTCAAACAAACCATGCGCGCCGCAATCGAACCTGGCAGTGAGTAATCCCAGCACCAGCGTGTGCTACATGAGATAAAGCCAATAAGGGATGCAGAGATAAATGACCGTAAATATTGTTCATTAGCATGGAGGCCGGTCGATCGTTAACCGTAAATACACAGTTTAGGTCGATTCCAACAATTTCCTCCAACAAAACTGATGAATAGCCTAAGGATTGGTAATAAGTATATTTGAAAACGAGGCACCAAAGTTAGACTGCTATTCAAGCCCACGATGTTTAACGAGGTGATACGTTATAACGTCATGTGGCGAGTCCGCCAAAGTTGAACCTAGCTCCGAAAGCACCAGTGGTCGAACGTCACCGACCTACGTATGCTTGCTTGGCTGCAAGGTTAGTTTTTAAAACGTGCGGAAGAGTAGTAGGGAAAACAGAATTATCATATCCAATATTAAGAGTGATAGAGGTCGAGCGTTGGTTGCGAAGAAGCATTGACAACGTAAGGCATCGCGGCGATCTGTAAGCCGGTTTGTGACCTTCAAACATGAGAGCCAAAGAATAATGGACCAATGAGTCCGCCTGCTTAAAGGAGACGTCTAAGGAGAACAATGAAGGATAAGCAGTCCGATGGGCTAGTTTTTGTGGGCGGTAAAATCGAATGGTAGTGAGGGCATTCTGTGAAACGATATGGCAAGTTGGTTAGATGCAGTAGCAAAGGTCGTAGTAGTACTGATGCAATACGATTGAGGAAGCCTTTAAACCCAAGTTTGGAGCATGAACTCATCGGAGAACTTACTTGCTGCCATAAGTAACTCAGAGTGGAAGGAAGCAGCAGTTGTGGGGGACGGAGACTGACTGAGGGCTGCCGCGGCCGCGGCCGCCACAGCCACAACGGAGGGAGACGATTTGGCCTGCAAGGAATCTGGATTCGGAAACTGCTTCAATTGTGTTGCACCACGTGATTGCGACTCCATCGTTGCTGGCCAAAAAGGAGCACCTGGCCCAGGAGAACCGATAGCCACCGTCGCAGCTGCGGCGTGAACAGCGGCGTCGTACAGAGGGCTGCTCATGAGAGCGCCCCAAGAAGGGTGGAGCCCCTCGAGGCATGGGAGCAACGGCGACGCTCGGTTAAAGGCGTGTGTTTGAGGTTGCTGAGGTGGGACCTCAACAGAGCGCTAAAACAATACAAAAGTAAAAAATAGAAGGACACTATGGATCTTAAGTCGACCGAGTACAACCAGCGTTTAAAATAAGAGAACTTCCAAGAGACAAGGGAACTCCGGATGAAAGTGATAACCGTAGAACCCCCAGATCAGTAACCACTTCCTAAGGATCGCGAATATGGTCAGTGGCTGTTGCCGGGAGACTCAAGGAAGATAACTACAAAAGAAGTTTCGCGTCCGATGTTATCTGGGGTTTGGTTCAGTATCAAATAATGAGGTGACACAGTTGCCAAAGTAAGTAAACCGAACAATCACTACTAGTGACTGTTCGCTGGCAGCTAAACGGGTAGCATATCTGTCCGGTTTTGCACAAACCGAAGCGTGTAGTGCCACACGTCAATCTACAAAGTACTATCTGTGTAACTACTACGTCCGACAGAGAGAGAGAGAGCTCTCGTCTACAAACACAAGTTTGTTAATTGGTCACGTAGCAGAACTTCCACTCTAGAAGAAACGGAGGGTGATCTACGATCATTCTGACCATAACGTTGAAGAGGAAACGAGAATTACGATAACCCTGTAGAACCCCATTTATCGTAGGGAACTCAGGAGGCAGGTTCTAATAGACCCCCACCGGGCTTCGTGAGCCGCGAAAGTTGCACTTCAAAACAGATATCATAGACATATAAAACAGCGGAATGTGAGGGATCTCAGCTGGTGTACCACGATATAATGCAGCAAGGTAATGGTGGAAAAGAGATAATAAACGATTAATAGCTAAAACCCCAAGAGAGAGGTAAATAATAATTATGTATGCATCTATGGTGAGAACGCCGTTACAAAGGGAGGCTTAGCGGGACGAGCATGGGTTAAAAAAACTCACAACTCAAAGGTCATCGGCGTCCACACGTATGTCAACAAGTATGTCTAGCCAAATGTATTCATCATCTTTGGGTGGCAACAAGGAAATCGAGAGACTCCAACGGAAGCCAACATCAAAGTGAAGGCCATCATCTTTCTTGACCAAGTCATTGGTTGTCCATCCTCATCTTCTTCCATCAACATCCCGGGCGAGTAAAAAACGTACAACGCAGGAGTCGGTGTGCTGGCATGCGAAACACATGACTAAGGCATCGGAGACTCGTGCGTGACATAACGGTGCTGAGCGGTTCGCGCACTCTTTCTGCATAAAAGATGAGCACATTGCTCACGTGCTGTTCCCACCAGACATGAGTTAAGATGCGAAGGCGGCGATTATGGAGCGCAACAAGGCACTTTAGGTCATCATTTGGTTGATTGCAATTATATTACGAGCCAGAAAAGTCAACTTCCAATCCGGAAAGACCTCCGACGATCGTTTCTTCTTATCGGGACTCGTCCGTGGTGCGTATTCTCTCGATCCGCTTCCGATAATCAAGCTTACGACCGCCAGTGGCTTGCACCGCTAGCCAGCAGCTTATGCCACGGAGCCATGGGGGACGATAGCCGACCATCATGAATTGAAATCTAACTGCGATATAGGCCGACCCATCATTCACTGCTGGAGCTTTCCCAGATGGGTAACACTGTGAAACCACAAAAAAATTGATTTTCGATAAGAGAAATGCTAATGTCTCTGCCTTATATAATACATTCCACTGAGCGTAGAAATGTATTCCGATGTTATCTAGCACGTCAGGTTACATTATTATAACCAAGTGATTATTCTCGTTAATGTCAAGGCTACGTCGCACGAGTTGTGTGTACCTGTACTGAATCACAACATTCAAGGGATGCATCTATGTAGAAACTTGCAGATTGGCACTGGGAAATGATGACTTCACCGAGATTGTCACTCGTATGATAAAGCGCCCTCACGCTGTAGAAAGCAGCAAAAGTCACGCATCATAGAAGGCATGCACTTGCCACTGTAGCGCTGATCCATGACTAAAATGTCTTGGTGAAAGCGCTCACCATGCTCATCGCCAAGTTCTCAGGGAAAAAGTCAAGGTGATAATGCAAAAAGTGCATCTTGAGTGACACTCGAGCACCGATAGTCTACAATGAACTTCTTTGTGAGGTCTTTGTAGTTCTCTGGCTGGCTTGTCGAACTACCTCCTCGTGGTACCAGCTGGGTGGTTCGGGTGTATCCCGTTCCAGCAAAGTGTTCAGCGACAATGTTCCACTTCGGTGGGACATTGTATTCCAGCAATTGTGTTGCTTTCATGGGGAGTATTGGGCCTCTATTTTGTGATCTACCAAACAAAGACGCATGAACTGAACATTCAGTCAGCGCCTTCCAATGGGCGCGATTCGCTAAATTCGCCCCGCTGCCTTGCGGGTAGGTTATTTAGCCAAAGGCTCGGGGCGGAGTCCCCTAAGTCAACTCCCTATTTCGGCTTGGGCAAGCGGGTAGTATCACGCCCTCTCACAAAAGCGTGGACCGTACTACAACGTGCTCACTACCTATTGTTTCTGCTTCGCACATTCAAGCGACTTCATCACACGCCAATTGTTTGTTTACTAACAATCCTCACTTTCCGTTACGCGATTCATGTGTTCAACAATCTGCCTGCGATTCCAGTTGCTCCGCAGATCAAGGAGTTCAACCTATGGTTCTCCTTCGTCCACGATCCTTGTTCCTTCTGGCGTGCTTCAACGTTCGGACACTCATGCAGACTGGACAATAAGCCGGTCTAGCGCGCAACATAGAGTCCCTAGACATTGATGACTGCTACCTTTCAGAAACCCGGTTGCAAGATCCCAGCGCTGTGCTTACATTGACATCCTGCAGTGACCACGAAGATAAATATCACCTGCGTCTTTCTGGAGATCCAGAAGCAGTCTCAGCGGGTTTGGCTGGTGTAAGTATAGCACTACGTGAAAAGGCCGATGCGACACTACTGGACTGGTTCCCGAATAACCGTCGACTATGTGCAGTTCGGCTTCGGGGTTCATGTGTAAGCAACAAGCATCGCGAAGAGAAACGCAACCTGCCTGTGATCTCCGTGTACGCTCCAAATGACTGCAGTGGGGGCTCAGTCAAGGACGAATTCTACGGGGATTTACATCAGCGCTTGATTAATGCTAAAAAGTCGAATGTCGTTATCCTTGCTGGGGATTATAATGCACGGGTTGGCCACCTGTTACCATACGAACGCCACCTTGGTGGTCATCATGCGCTCGATGAGAACTGCTCTGATAATGGAGAGAGGCTTCTCACATTGTGCGAAGACAACCGTCTGTTTCTTGGACGGTCGGTCTCGCGACTACTCATGGACGAGTCAATGAACAATCGACATTCATCACTGATATGCCTTACGCAAAGCTCCTTCATCAGTCCTTGCAGGTCGGAACAGCAACTAAAGATTTCTCTCCTGCCACAGAAACCGGGCAAGTTAACATTTCGCTTTCTGAAAACAATAATCTTGGTGTTTGCAGCAAGTATTGCCACTGCTGCAGCCGAGATGCCAGCGAATCGGCCTAGTCTTTAGGCAAGCCCAGGTCAGATACCAAGTCATTCAGCTCTGATTGTTCAAGAAGATGTGGGTTGACAACAGCAGCTTCAAAGTTTTCACAGATGTCAGAATCCGGGGAATTTGACGTTGCAGTATCACTACTCATCATTTTTGACATGTTTACTGGAGGCATTGGAATGGGTAAGGTGCAATCATGAGGAACAGATCGAATAGCTGGTGGAAGATCGGTGTAATGAATTTTGTCCTTGTTTCGGTTGGAGATCCCAGTGACACTAATTAGGCATAAGTAGCAGTTTGTTGTGTAATCCTTTGGCTCCCTTTACACCATGGGGACTACAAAGTGCAACTTGCCTTTGCCCTTGAGCCACTGAGTCAGATGAAGATTGCACGACACACAAACAATATGCGGCGCCCACTTCTTATCCTGATCTCCCAGTTTCATCCCGAAATATGCGTGGTAGGCAGACTTCAGTAGTGAAGAAATGGGTCTGCACTGCGACTTTGTAGTAAACTGTTCACAGGCGTAAAAAGAATAATTTCGGTCATTGACCTAGCAGGGTCTTTTAGCTAAGATCGTGATAGCAATTAAGAAAACACAGCTCTCAATTGACTTTTAGTATCAGGTGGATACCATGGCCAAGAGCACTTCTTTTACACGATTACAGGGATCCAATGGACAAATCACAGGTGAGCATTCGATGCATGAAATGCACTGCTTAGCTGAAATGAAAAAAGCGATGTGATAGAAACATTTGGTTTGCACATTCGTAAGTAACTCACCTAGTACTACTAGAAACATCTATCTCATTTCTGTCATAAAAATGATGTTGCACAGTGTAACTGATCGTTGTGGCCTGCAAACGAATTGCGATAAACCGAATAAAGCTTATCAAATCCGCCGCTTTGTCAAACGCTCTGATGGAGCAGATTCCGCAGCCTACAGTAAAGCTGAGAGCAAAGATGAGTTGTCGACTTTGTACTTCAAGGTGAGAGTGATGTCGTGCCGATACCACTGACGGCAGATTGATAAAAATTTCATGAGCTTTTGGTGTACGGTTCGTGAATTCTTCGATTTCACATGCGCCAATATAACTGGTCAGATACTTGAATTTCTGGACGACTTCGAAGTGATCCGCGCCAAGGACAAGTGCAGGAAGTGGTCCCTGCCAATCCTGGAGGAAAGTCATGTAATTCCAGGGTGCTAAGCAAAGCCCGAAACGGCTGACAGACCGTACTAATCTGACCAAAGCTGATCGGAAAGTTTGTGGACTGTCAAAGATAACTGCAATAGCATTAGCATACTCCAAGTCAAGAAGCCGCTCACCTAAGAGAATCTAACTACCTGCTACGGTGTGTCCAATGAATGCAAGTTTCATGAATTCACCTATAACGAAGATAAAATGTAAAGGATACAGCAGGCATCCCTGTCTCACACCGTTGGATACATTGAAAGGTGCGCGCACAGCGCATTGATAGTGTTTATGTATTTCATGGGCACACGTTTCTTAATCAAACAGTACCAAAACGCAGATCGATCCACCGAAGCGAAGGCAC